TGCTGGGGTGGGAACACATTCCATGGCAGAGCTATGTGCTGGAACACAGATGTGTGACAGTGGTGAGTAAAACTGCTCTCAGCTAACAAGTCCTGTTTTTTCTCTCTCCTGCAGGAACGCCAAGGCCGTGTCAAGTAAAAGGCCATTCCTCCTCCAGAGACTGCAGCAGAGATTCCATCCCAGCTGTCTTTCAGAGAGAGAAAGGAGGAGCAAGAATATCCCAGAGAAAGATTTAGGACTTTTTTTTCTTAATTTCATTGACTTCAAAAAGACTCTTACAAACTTGCAGTTGAAAACAAAAAAAAGAAACAAGTATTGGAATATCACAAGACATAGGACTTAAAAAAACAAAAACAACAAAAAAAATCCCTTCTAGGTAGAGTATAGGTAAAACCTGTCCCTTTTCTTTTGGCTTTGGTTGTGATTTCAGAGCATAAGCTTTGTTTTTTGTCTTTTTACTATGGGGGTTTTTTTTTGATTTTTCAAGTCCATAAGTGGCATATGCCTTTTTTTTTCTCTAATTTTTAACCCCAGTTGCTTCCCTCCCTCCCACCCCTTGCGCCTCCTTCCCCTGGTTTTGACATTTGCACTTGGAACACCGAGTTGGAAGCTCCACCTTGGAAAGTGGAGTCACTTTTTTTACTTTTTCTTTCTTCCCCCTAGCCTGGAAGAGAATGAATTCAACAAGGAAGTTTGGGGGTTGTTTTGTTGTTTATTTTTTGCCTAAGAAGAATTGACTAGAAATTGTTCACGAGGTTTTGTCTTAAAGGTGGTTCACTTTTCTCTGACCCTTTTATTACTCAAAAGTCAAGTATCAGGAGTCCTAAAAATGTTCTGTTCTTGTGCATTTTACAGATTGAAGTCTGGATTAATTTGAATTTTGAAAGCTGAGAACAGTGGTTAAAAAAAACCTTTGTTTTGTTTACAGGAAAAAATTAATTTTGGACAAAAAAAAAAAAAAACAACCAAAAAAAACCCTAACAACAAACCAAGGAAGAAATATTGTAAAATGTGTAGTGACTGTTTCTTCAGTTTCTTGTTAAGCCAATGAGGAATGGGCGTTGCCTTTCTTTTCACCATTAATCACTTCTCAATAATAAACGTGAGATCCTGTTGAGCATCACTGGTGTCTGCTGCTCCCTCCTCCCTGCCAGGGCCACACCTCCTGCAAAAACACCTGGAAATAAGGAGGCAAGTACTGCTTTCTCCTTGGGTTTGACGCCCCTGGGCACCCCCAGCTCAATGCCAGCCCTTTGGGGATGGTTTTGGCTCCAGCTGAGAGAGGCAGTGCCCACCTCACTGCTCACGATTCCTTCCCATGGCACAGGGAATTTGAAGATTATCCAGCTTCTTCCAGGGGTGCTGAATGCAGACGCCTCACATCCCAAATGATGTCTCCTGGGAAAACCACTCACCAGGAAAATAAACCCCAAAAAATCCATGTTTTCTTGTTTAGGCACTTGAGAGGGAATGAAAGAGCCACAGGCACATCTCCAGCCTGATCCCATGCAGTGCTCCAGGCTGGGGACAGAGTGGCTGGAGAGCACCAGGCAGAAGGACCTGGGAGTTTGGAGAGATAGAAAGCTGAACAGGAGCCAGCAGTGTGTTCAGGTGGGCAAGAAGGCCAGTGGCATCCTGGCCTGGAGCAGGAGCAGCGTGGTCAGCAGGACCAGGGAGGTGATAAAACTGTCCCTTGATGACCAGCAGCAGCAGAGCCTTTAGGTTGGCAGGGCTTGCAATTACCTCAGCTGAAAGGCCTCAGGGGCTCACAAAGGTGAGGGGGTTTTTTTCCTAGTCCAGGTAAGTTTTTACAACTCAAATTTAGAATCATGGAATGGTTCGAGTTGGAAGGATCCAAAGTGATTCTTCCCCTGGACTCGGTGCTGGTGAGG